AGGTTCACGGAAATTCGCAGTTTATCTAATTAACCCCTTAGTGCTGGAAAGTATATTATTGTAAGAACCATCGGTTCTGCCTTTAAAAGTTCCTATAACATCTAAATTGAATAGTTTTGCTTTTTAATATTATTTCTCTTTAAGATGTCACGAAAATTAATTTATTATTAAAAGAAATACATAGAGAATAAATGTAGGTTTTAGTTCTGTTTGAGCTGACACCACCCAGACAATTTAGGATAAGATTAGTGGATACACCGTACACACCTTTATTTATCTGTTTATAATTACAGAATTATAGTATGGGTTTCAAATCTATTAATTGTAATAAATAATAATGTGTGTTCTAACCCCTTTAATTACAAATGACTTCCCAAAACCGTTCAATATTCTATTTAGCTGACAAAATAGGGAAATTTTATTAAATAAATAGACAGATTCAGACACATGTTGTGTTTGTTTGCAAGTGATCTTTTTTTCTGGGAACATTAAAACCTCAAACAAGTTGATCGAGTTTCAGTGATTTGACACAGATGTGTCAGTTTATATCATCCAGTCTAGTTTGTCACAGAGCCAGGACATAGCTGGATCAATCACACACTATTTCCTAGTTGCACAATTTGTACCTGCACAAAAACAATGCTATCAATCTTTATATATACAGATCAATATAGGAATATATATTTCTATCTAGTCATAGCTATAATCTAATACTAGGAAGAATGATATTAAATACAGAGAGCATATTGACCAAGTTGGTGAGAGAGGTCCCATCCCATCTGGTTAATTACACAACAATACACCTCGATACACAAACATGATGAAACTTCTGTTCGCAAACTATTACTTTAATTCTCTGTAATTGGGGAAATTAGCTGGTTACCTACCCCTCATTCAGTCCGGGTAGTGAGAAAAACATAATCGGATCTGCTATTAGAGGGATTGGCGTGTTTGTTGATTAACCCACGCAGTGCCAGAGGCTGGTTAATTATTAAACAAGGACAAGGTTATTACAGGATATTTTTTGCTGTGTAGTTTTTGGTATTTATTTTAACCACTGCAGTGCTGGATCATTCCCCTCACTCATATCATACAGAGACCCTGTGCCCCTTTTCTCATAGCACTGGGTAATATGTCCTCATATTAGATGGAGTGAAGGCTGTCCAGAGATTTATGAACTATTTAAAATAAGGGACTCACTGATATTGGATGAACAACTGGAGAGGCTGCAAATCAGATCCTGGAGGATATCCTTTTCTATTCAATCAATCAATCAATCGATGCCTTAAAATGAGGGAGGGAGTCAAGTCCAGCTTGTAGTGTAACTCACATATACCCAGAGATCCTCTATCTGATCAAAACTTCTCGGTTTGACAACATTTGAACTGCAAGTAATGATAGTATTAATACACCAATAAGCAGAGACACTATTACATTACAGGATTCACACACATATACCAAGATTGTACAACAATGTTAGACACATAATCCCACAGGGGCCACTGCACTAACTATACACGCTGTAAATTAGATTATCATTCAATCTAGACCCAATACAGTACAGATATATCTGGATAGAACAAATGCAGAGCATAGAATAGTATATTTCCTGTATAGATAGCACAGGTAGACCGACCTGTGACTTACCTCCCTGGAACTATTTGATCTCAGAGAATTTCTTCAGAAATATTATAATCTATTAACAAATGATAACATTGTTTAGTAATTGCACTTAGATCGTTGATCAATAGGTATTAGAAGCAGACTATAGTATTAAGAAGGGGGGTGGGAAGGGATATTTAAAATAATAAACACAATAAAAAACACAGAGTGATCTATTGCTAGACATGATTGTAAAAGGCATGAACTGTAAGACTGTTAATAATAATTGACAGATTTACTTTATTTAAATATAGTGACACCTTCAAAACCAATGGCATGCCAGGAAGATTTCATCAACAATAATTTGCATGTTCCTCATCACGAAAGGGTTAATCGTTGGAAATAATTCTTAACATTAATATAAAGCCTTTGAACCAGCACTGGTAATAATTGCTGATTTTATCCACTCACCCAATATTCTCAATGTTTTATTAAATGTGTTATTTTTGTTTGTTTGTTTTTAATCAAACAGGGTTAAATTACTAAAGTGACAATTTCAAAATTCGTTTCAAATCTAAGACCAGAGTAGCCGAAATGAAAGCCTGGTTCAGAGAGAATTATTTCGTTTCAGCTAGTTTGCCCTTAAAGTTGAATTTCACCATGAATTCCCATTTTAGTGAAAGCCTTGTATGTGTTTTATTAACCCCAATCATCATTGATGAGATATTTATAAAACCAGCTGAATGTAACTGACTAGAATATTTATATTTACAAGATACATTGATAGAATGTGACTAAAAAAACAAACAAACCATTAATGAGAAATAAAATAAAAACCCAGACTTGCTATATGACAACACAGAGGAAGAAACGTTAGCAGTCAGCACGTGTGATATTAAAATAAATCCATTTAATGGTTTTGTTCATAGTTTTGTAAAATAGATTATTTCAGGAAATGGGCAGGATTTATTGGAGATGAGATGGTATAGCTCTCTATATTAGAACCAATCTCTATGCAGGATTTATTGGGGATGAGACATTATATCCCTATATATTAGAACCAGTCTCTATGCAGGATTTATTGGGGATGAGATGGTATATCCCTATATATTAGAACCAGTCTCTATACAGGATTTATTGGGGATGAGATGGTATATCTCTATATATTAGAACCAGTCTCTATGCAGGATTTATTGGGGATGAGATGGTATATCTCTATATATTAGAACCAGTCTCTATGCAGGATTTATTGGGGATGAGATGGTATATCTCTATATATTAGAACCAGTCTCTATGCAGGATTTATTGGAGATGAGATGGTATATCCCTATATATTAGAACCA